AAAAAAAAAAAAAATACACCTAATCTACTGAACAGCATAGCTTAGCCTAGCACGCCTTACACGTGCTCAGAACACTTACTTTAGCCTATAGTTGGGCAAAATCATCTAACACAAAGCCTATTTTACAATAAAGTATCGACTATCTCATGTAATTTACTAAATACTGTACTGAAAGTGAAAAACAGAATGGTTGTATGGGTATAGAATGGTAATAAGTTTATCAGTTGTTTACCCTTGTGATCACATGGCTGACTGGGAGGTACAGCCCACTGCCACTGCCCAGCATCATGAGAAAATATCATACCACCTACCATTAGCCTGGGAAAAGATCAAAATTCAAAGTATAGTTTCTACTGAATGTGTAATACTTTCACACCATCATAAAGTTGAAAAATCCTAAGTCAAATCATCATAAGTCAGTGACTCTCTGTTATGAAAGTCATTCAACAAGCCAAAAGATAAACTTGTTTTAAACTATATGCTTCTTATTTTAAACTCTGTAATAGCATAATTTACCTCTTAACTAGATAACCTTCACCAACTAATTTAACCTCTTCAGTAAAACTGGAATACTAAATACTTCCCAAGATTATTAAAAATATTTAAGAACATTCCCTGTCCCAAAGTACCTAGTTAGTCTCTCCTATTCTTAAGAGTAGCACTGAAAACGACCTATAAAAGCATTCAAATACAAGCCATGTACAAAATTTTAGCTACTTATAATTCATGTAGCAAATTTAAAATAAAATAAAATATAATTAGTTTAAATACCTACCAATGCCAAGTCATCTCGACCATAGTCTAGGGCTGCAATCATCACTTGCTCATATATGATCCAAACTAGACACAGAGAGAGAAAAAAAATGAATTTAATGTAAAAATCTCCCAAAAGAAATTATTCTTCTTGTTTCTGATATCTTAGAGAACGTTACTTGCAACTGAAAATTGATTTATTACATATCTAGAATTAAGAAAGCATCCTTATGTGCTTTCAATAATGTAAAATATTTTAATATCTTATAAGTTTTAAAAAATCTACTATTATTTAATACCTTTGTTCTTCTAAAAAATTCTTTATGAAATACATTTTGATCAGACCAGGACAATAGCCCTGTGAGCTTTAAAAGAAAAATACCTATTTGATTGCTTCACTACAACCAGCAATTAGAAATCCTTCTCAAAATAATGCATCATTAGACATCCTGAGAAGTTTTTTTTAAAAAGGGACAAATCATAAATTGATATAAACAGCAGGAAAAACATAATAAAAAGATGCTTTAAAAAAAAAAAAAAACTAAAAACCAAAACAGAACACAAACCATGAATAAAGAACTTACTATCATCTCCAAGCTTAGAAGCATATTCATTAATTAATTCCTCTCCAACTTCCACAATTTGCTCACTGTTTCGTGAGTTTTCTTCTCTCCATTTTCTCATTTTATCTCGCATTTCTGAAAAAATAAAGTTTGTTATTACATATATATTTGATCAGTATCAAAAAATTGATAAGGAAGTTGAAATCAACTTCTCAGGTAGAGAAAATAAAGTCACACTAATATAAGTCTATGGTATGTCAAAATTCATAAAGCAGAAAACCAATTTAACAAGAGCAACAGATCCTTTAGAAGATTAAAGACCTTACAACTGATGTTACAACTACAAAAGTAATGAATGGCATTGGTCCGCTACAAAGATCCTCTAACCCTTTAAGCAACTATGGATCTTCACTTTTTTGAAGTTACAGACAACTCTCAGAAATTGATAAAAGCTAGAGATAATTTTCCCAGAAAAAAAAAAAAACACATAAAATTAAACATAGAAATCTCAAAAATCCAAAGTACTCCTGAAGCTCCTACTCATTCAACAATGTAAAATTTCATAATCAGGGGTTCATATTAGGCAATCAGCATTGAAAGGACAGTCATCACAAAACTTCCTTAATAACATTACAAAAGTATATATAATGTATAAAGATACACAACCATGCAAGAAAATAAACAGTGACAGATTCAGAACAAAGGAAATCTTTCAATTATATATACAATAATAAAAATGTAGAGTAAGGTAAAAAGCACTAGCAAACAAGTCACAAGAACCACTTTGCATATTATAAAACAAGACGAAACAGGAATTTTAATGAACAGCATATTGACAGCAGGAATAATAACAAGGAAAAAGAAAGAGTACCTAATCCAGTAAACAAAAGATCTTTTTCATATAGTTATGGTAGAATGAAATGTCCAATTCGCCAATCACATAGATGCTTTCTTACTCCTATCTCTGAAAATCTAACATATTTATTCATCTGAAGTACCAACTTCTTCCTTCTACAGACACAGATATAGAATAGATTTAAACAGTTAAATTGTTGTTGAACACATGAGTTAAATAAACAATATGCTAGGCCCCTAGAGAAAAAGTATAGAAGAAGCACAAAGGATTTTCACACTTTCGTATGCATTATCTGAGTCCCTATAGCTCAAAGTCTAAAACAAACAAACAGAGTGGCTGCACCAGCTTGCATTCCCACCAACTGTATGGAGGTTCCTCAAAAAGTTGAAAATAGAGCTACCATATGATCCAGCAATTGCACTACTGGGTATTTACCCCAAAGATACAAAAGTAGGGATCCGAAGGGGTACATGCACCCCGATGTTTATAGCAGCAATGTCCACAATAGTCAAACTGTGGAAAGAGCCAAGATGTCCATCGACAGATGACTGGATAAAGAAGATGTGGTATATATATACAATGGAATATTATGCAGCCATCATAAGGAATGAGATCTTGCCATTTGCAACGACATGGATGGAACTGGAGGGTATTATGTTGAGTGAAATAAGTCAAACAGAGAAAGACATGTATCATATGATCTCACTGATATGAGGAATTCTTAATCTCAGGAAACAAACTGAGTGTTGTTGGAGTGGGGGGTGGGGTGGGAGGGATGGGGTGACTGGGTGATAGACACTGGGAAGGGTATGTGCTCTGGTAAGCGCTGTGAATTGTGCAAGACTGTTGAATCTAAGATCTGTACCTCTGAAACAAATAATGCAATATATGTTAAGAAAAAAAAAAGAAGAAGAAGAAGGTAGCGGGACGGGAAGAATGAAGCGGGGGAAATCGGAGGGGTGGACGAACCATGAGAGACGATGGACTCTGAAAAACAAACTGAGGGTTCTAGAGGGGAGGGGGGTGGGAGGATGGGTTAGCCTGGTGGTGGGTATTGAGGAGGGCACGTTCTGCATGGAGCACTGGGTGTTATGCACAAACAATGAATCATGGAACACTTCATCTAGAACTAATGATGTAATATATGGGGATTAACATAAGAATAAAAAAAAAATCCTTAAAACAAACAAACAAACAAAAAAACAAAAATCCAAGACAAAAACAGATCCTAAATGATCTGAGAAAATCAAATTAACACACAGTTAATTCCTTCTACTGACAACTAGAAATCAGCTTGACTCTTACTCCACAGAGGAAATAACCTTGAACTGAATCTTACAAGGCTGAAGAGGAAATGGACCAAAAAAAAAGGTCATTCATACCCCACAGGTTAAGGGCTCAGTCCCACAAAACTGCCCCCACTTTAGACAGCAATCACAAGTCAGGGCCACCAATATTTCTGACCAACTGTCTATAAAGTCTGGGGTTCGGGTGCCTGGGTGGCTCAGTCGGTTAAGCATCTGCCTTTGGCTCAGGTCATGATCTCAGGGTCCTGCGATCAAGCTCCGCATCAGGCTCTCTGCTCAGCGGCGAGTCTGCTTCTCCCTCTCCCTCTGCCTCTGTGATCTCTCTCTCTCAAATAAATAAATAAAATCTTAAAAAAAAAAAAGTCTGGGGTTCTCACAACCACCTCCTTAGGTTTGCAAGAATGCCTCAAGGAACTCAGATAAGTGCTTCACTTATTATTATGGATTTATTATAAAAAATACAACTCAGGAACAGTCAAATGGAAGAGCTACATAGGGTAAAGGGGGGGGAGGGAAGGGAAGCAGAGGAACTTCTATGTTCTCTCTAAGGAGTCACCATCCCAGTACCTTGATGTGCTTAGCAACCTGGAAGCTCTCCAAACACCATTGCTTAAGGGGGATTATGGGGATTTCATTCCACCGGCATGATTGATCTCCAGATGATCTCCCCTCCCAGGAAGTCAAGGAATGAGACTAAAATTCCAACCTTTTAATCTTGCCCTGGTCTTTTGGATAACCACCCCCCAACCGGAAGCAACCAGCCTCCAATCATCTCATTAGTAGACAAAAAGATACTCTTACAATTCTAGAAACTCCAAAGGTCTTAGAGGCTCTTGTGTCAGAAACCCAGAAAAAAAGACTAAATATAACAAAAACTGTTCCTATCAACCCTATCATTCAGGAAATTTCAAGGGTTTAGGAGCTCTGTGACAGGAACTAGCGACAAAAAAACAAATACACACCCCTTATCACATCACAACATATGTTATCTTTAGATCCACAGCATGGGTTCTCAAAACTCATTCAAACTCTATCCCCTATACCATGGTTCACTTACAGTCTTAAATCCACGTTCACTTTCAACCTAGCAGATTATTTTATTTTATCTTAAAGATTTATTTATGGGCACCTGAGTGGCTCAGTTGGTTAAGCAACTGCCTTCAGCTCAGGTCATGATCCTGGAGTACCAGATCGAGTCTCACATCAGGCTCCCTGCTCATTTGGAAGCCTGCTTCTCCCTCTGACCCTACCCCCTCTTGTGCACTCTCTCTCTCAAATAAATAAAATCTTAAAAAAAAAAACAAACTTATTTATTTATTTGAGAGAGAGAGAGAGCATTTAGAGGAGAGGGGCTGAGGGAGATGTAGAGAGAAACCCAAGCAGACTCTGCACTGAGCATAGAAGCTGACCTGAGGCTCAATCTCACGACCCTGAGATCACAACCTGAGCCAAAACCAAGAGTCAGACACTTAATCAACTGGGCTACCCAGGTGCCCCAAACTCACAGATCATTTTAAAAGAGGAGTAAGTGCCTTGGGAATATAAATTATTTAGTGTTTTACAGATCTCATCCATAACACTGCACCCTTTGCCCATATGCTGAACCCAAATTAGGCTAGCATTCAAGGCGCCAACCTAGCTCTTACCTTGAAAAAATTACCTTCACAAAACATATACATATCCATAAGTATGTATCTTTAGCTTAGAAGTGAAATCTCAGGGTATGTTCCATGAGATCTGGGATCCTGCCTGTCTTGTTTAGCACTGTATCCTCAGGAACTAGAACAGTGCTTAGTGCAAAGTACTCCAGATACGTATTTAATTAACATGTTATTTAGTATATAGGCTAATAGTTAAAGCTAGGTGTGAATGAGATCACCCACAGAAGGCATTTAACCTTTTAATTTTAGACTCTTTGAATCTGATGAGACCTTTGAACCCTCTTTTCCCAGAAAGATGTACATGTTTACATACATTCAATTTTACATACAATTTCAGGGAATTCAAAGACCACATAAAACTTACCCCTCCATCAGTCAGGATTCTATTGATCTCAGGTTTAATAACCACCAATAATAGATTAAGTAGAGTGCTAAGAAAAGAACCATTAGGGACACTAAAAATCAAGGAGCAAATGGATATAGAAAACTCAAAAAGGAAAGGTCTGAAAAGTAAGAGGAGACCCATAATGTTATTATGAAACCAAGGAAAGAACGTTTCATGGTGTGATCTGCAACAACTAATATAGTGGTAAAAAAAACCACATTAGACCTGGCATTAGGTTTCCCTAGAAACCTTACTGGAATGAGAGGGCATGGAAACCAAATTATGTTGTTTGGATGACTGAATAAAGAGAAAGTAGAGACAATAAGTACTTTAATAATTATTTTTCCAACAAATATTCATTTAGTGCCTATTTCAAGCCAGGCATTGTGCTAGACATCCTATCCATATCCTGGCCAAATATCCTATTTTTGAGAAACTTGGCTATACCCTTCTTACAACTCTCTTTCCCACCTCCAAACTCCTAAGTAGTAACTCCTCTAACAAACATTAATTTTCAACCGGTTGAATAAGTAAACCATATATTCTACTTTTTTTATAGAGCCCAAAAGATCGTGTTAGACTTACTATATGGGTCTTTTATAAACGTGATAAATTTTCCTATCACAAGAATTATAGTACTTTTTGAACAAGCCATTTCCACAACCTTAATTCATGATGCTGTTCAATGGAATTCTTAAGGACACAGGTCCAACTGACATGCCCTCCCAAAAAAAATCTAAACAAAAAACCATCTCTAAGAGTCCTCTATCACCTTCTAAAATCCTAAAAATTTGTTACTATAAGTTTCTGAAAGAAAAATCTAGATTACTCTTTAAAAGTCCCCTAAAATAGAACTCTGATTCTGGAAAGGTCTGAAACCTTCATTTTACAAATAAGCAACTATATCCTATTAGTAAAGTGAGCTGCCTAAGTCTACCTAAGATACTACAGAAATTTTTTCAATACTAGAAAAATGGCTTATAGTCTTTTGTGACAATTTGTTAATGTTTATTATTAATGCCATTAACAATTCACTTAGTCAACAAATAATGACTGAGCAACTCCAAAATGTCTAGCACAAGACCAAGATACGACTGGTCCCTCCCTCCATTCTAGGAGACAGAAGTTTAAAACTTAACAAATTGGATAAGTACTTCAATAGTATGAGGATACAGAGTTAAGGGCCAGGAGTACATTTTGTTGCTTTTGTTGTTGTTTTTTTTCTTTTTAAAAAATTTTAGTGGAGGGCTAGGGTAGGGTGGTAAAGGAAGGCTCTCTGAAGTCTGTGACCTTTGAGGGAAATTCTGATAAACAGAATATATAATGGTAGCAAGAATAGGGCAAGAAAGGAAAAACACTCCTAGTGGAAGAAATAGCATCTGTCCAGCCCTAAGACAGAGGAGTAGGGGAATTCAACAAAAGTCAGCATAGCCAGCTCATAAAGTAAGGGAGAAAATAGTTAAGATAAAGCTGGAGACATGGGCAGGATCATATTTTTTATAAAGCACTTAATAGTTTAAAAGCACTTTAACATGCTCTCTTTTGTTCAATCATACTTGTGAAGTAGCTAATATTCATTATTCTAAATCCACTCCTCCTTAGAATACCCACAGGATAAAGTCCAAGTTACCTAGTTAAGTCACCTTGTCTGCTGGTAGGTACGATAGTTACACATCTACTTGTTCCTACCATCTAAGAAACCTATATTGAACATACCTTCAAAGTAACACTTTCTAAAAAGCATGAAATATTTGAAACACTTTTTAAAAAGCATTAAAAGTAACAGCCACATATCTACCATCTGGCTTAAAAATATATCCTGACACAAGCCTTTTAAAACTATGTATTTTACAGGTCTGTCCTCTCATTAGACTGTGAACTCCCTAAAAGTAAGGACTGTGTGTTACTTAATTTAATATACCCAGGATCTAGCACAAAGCATTTAATACTTTTAATATAATGAATTCCCCAAATGCAGGTAGAAATACTTTTCACAGTGAGCTAGAGGCCACAAAACCAATGATAAATTATTGAATTCAGTTCAAGTATAAAGGAATTTTACCTTTTCCCATACATGTTTGCAATTTTGTAATACTGGATAGATACATTCACCATTAAATGGTCAATATAACTTTCAGTCCACATGTTATTAGGTCATTGTTTAAATATCTGAAGAAGGAATTCACTAAACAAAGAAGCTATTAAAGTCTACTGTTAAATGATGAGAATAGAAATTTCAATTACACAACTTTCATGCCTTAGAGAAACTCGAGGCTCTTCTCTTAACCATGCTTCCCACTAAAGTTTTTAGGAGAACAATCTCTTACAGAATTGGTTCAAAGTTTGGCTGCTTCCAGATTTAAACAACACACTCCACCTTAGATTAAAGTAGGATGGGAAAACAAGCCCATCACACTTATGCATATGCCCAAGATAACCAGTTATTTTCCCTTTCAGAAAAGGAATTACTGGCAGGAAGTGAGAAGAAAGTTGTGTTACGAGTCTAAGTGTGTTTTGAGGGGCAAGGGGGCAGCGAATACTGAAGAGGAGAATTCAGAGACCCAGTTTTGCAGAGAGAACGAAATGTAAAGTTGCACGTAGAAAAATCAGATTTGTTCATGGGTCTTTCACAGACCTTTACTGCACAGAGTTGTAACCTTTACACAGCACTTAATAAAAGGCCTTATAGACCGTGTATTTCTTGGCTGCAGGGAAGCTTCAGCAGGCAACTATCCCGCCTCCTCCGCGCCGCCCAGCAGCCACATGAAATGTGTGACAGCCCTCCCGCCTTATAATGGAAGCTACCCTGGGCCACTGTACTGGCGCAGAAGTACGTGGGTCAGTCTGTCGATGAGCACAAGCGGTGGGGAACACCGCAGACTCCAGTCGAAGGCCGGGCCAAGGAAGGGGTCAGCCTCAACCTCCACCTTAGCCACCACCTCAGCTCGGCCCGTCCAGAGAGAGCTCCAGTGCAGAAGACAGACCGGAGAATCCACGTCTCCACGGGCAGCAGTTACTGCCGAACCGCTTCCCAGGGCTTTCGGTCTTTCCGCACCCGCCCCGCCCGCAGTTACCTTCCCAAGTGACATCGTAAAGCTCTGAGACCTTCGCCATCTTCTCAGAACCTGGAGGCAGGGAATGAGAGGGCGGGGAGACACTGTCACGTGACCTGAGACCGGGAGGTGGCGAATTACGACACCATTTTTCATTGGTCGAGAGAGCGGAGGGGGCGGGAATCGCTGCGCACGTGCACACGGCTCTGCGGAGGGGCTGTTGGGGAAAGGGGCGGGGTCAGCTGGGCGGCGACAGACTTTCACGGACTTTGGGGACACCGTGGCTGAGCGCTGGGAAGTGGAGTCGGCTTGCTTTGAGGTGACTTTTTGCCAGGGATTTTTTTTTTTTAGCAAATGCTGTTTTGTTTTGTTTTTTTTTAATATGCACCACTCTCGGTTTTTCTTTTTTTTCTATGTAGGTGTATTCGTTCCCTTCCCACCCCCTAATAGTACCTTGTTCTCGTCCTGCACTGCTGCAACGTAACGTTGTGCTCCAATCCTTTATTTGCCCCCAACTTTCCTCCTTCCTTAATGGGGTTTGCTTTCCATTTTCTTTTGAATGTTCGAGTAAACTGTTACACTCCAAAAACTTTTTTAAATCTGTTTGAGGGACTAAGCGGGATTCTGCCTTTTCACATTACGTTTGTGTGGCCGAGGACTTCTTAATGTTCACCTCAATGTTTTCTTGCCAACCTGGGTTAGTCTGCCACTCTGGATTTGAAAACTCGTAAGACCAGCCAATATGTAAGTCCTTATAAATAAATGAAATACTGAATAAATGTACGAATGAGACCATCCCAGCCCCTGCACTTCGCTCCTCTGTAACCTCACGGGGGAGCCTCCTTCCTCGCCCTTTCCCACCAAGCTAATTGCTTTCAGGAACATTAGACCCCATCTACTAGACCTAGGGAGAAATGTCTGGAGTAGAAGAAATTTAGGTTCACATGCATATATTTAGTATTTAAAACAATGGAAACGTAAAATTGTAAAGGAAGAATATGTAAAGTGAGGAAAGAAAGCTAAAAATCCCTACATTACAGCCATAGCTAAAGGACAGTGAAGAAGAGGCAATCAAGGTAGGAGAAGGGAGAAAAGAGAGTCACATCCCACAAAGCAAGGGAGTAGAACTAAAAAAAAAAAGGAACTATCAATAGCATCTGCCACAGAGAAGTTCCGTAAGGACAGAAAAGACTACTGAACTTATAAACTTGGTGTAGATTCTGAATAAGGTTCATTCTCTCCAAACTTAACACACCTTGTAGAGACTCTTCATTCAAAAAAATTAAAAACCTTCCACTCAGAAATTCACATATCCTAATGCTTCAGTAGAACAATGGAATGAACAAGAATTCTATCAGACAGATTTGAATCTAGGCTCCACTATTTAGTAGGTGGCTGACTTTCAGAATGTGTATCTCTGAGCATCAGAGTTGCTCTTTTATAAAAAAGAAGCTAGTTATATCTATATAAAAAGAAAAATATCTACTTTGAGTTGTTATCAATATTAAAAGAGATACTGCATGACGCTCCCATGGAGGTACCAGTCCTTTGGCTATAAATACTACTTATATGCTGATAACTCCCAAATTCTCCCCTGAGACCCGATTCTGCTTTCTTGACATATTCATTTAGATAGCTAATATGCATCTCTAAGTTAACATATCCCAAACAGAACTCTGGATTCCTGCCACCACAGCCCCCCAACTTGGCCTTCCCCATTGCAGTTGATTAAACTATTCACCTAGTTGCACAAACTAAAATCCTAGGCAGTATGGTTGATTCCCCACCTGCTATGTGCAGTCTGTCAGCAAATTCTGTATTGTACTTCCAAAACTTTCCCCAAATCTATTTGCATCTCCATTGCTACTACTTCAGTCTAAGCCACAACCATCTCTCACCTGACTGTAATAGCCTCTTAACCGTGTTAGTTTCATTCTTGCTATGTAAAATCTATTTTCTATACAGCAGCCCTACTGTCTTAAAAAAAAATAAAATAAAAATCAGACTACAGAAGTCCTTTGCTCGTGGCTCTCAAATGACTCCCCCAGGCAATAAAAATATACTCTAAACCCTTTACCACAGTTTACAGGGCTCCACTCAGTGTGGCTCTCTCCTACATCCCTTACCTCATCTACCATTCTTTCTTCACTAGACCCCAGCCATTCTGGCCTACTTCGTATTCCTCAAACATTCCAAACTCCTATCTGCCTTGGGTGGCATTTGCCCCTTATCCCTTTTCCTGGAATGTTCCTTTCCATATCTTTAAGTGGCTGTCTTCTTTTTGTCTTTTATATCTGTTTTATTTAAAACTATTATCTACTTATTTTTTTTTAAATATTTATTTTTTTTATTTTTTATTTTTTTTTAAAGATTTTATTTATTTATTTGACAGAGAGAGACACAGCGAGAGAAGGAACACAAGCAGGGGGAGTGGGAGAGGGAGAAGCAGGCTTCCCGCAGAGCAGGGAGCCCGGATGCGGGGCTCGATCCCAGGACCCTGGGATCATGACCTGAGCTGAAGGCAGACGCTTAACGACTGAGCCACCCAGGCGCCCCTAAAACTACTATCTACTTATAGGGAGGCCTTTCTTGACTATCCAATAACAAGTGGCTCCTAGTTAATGCCTATTACATCATTATGACACTTACCAGTTTAATTTTTTTTGTTTACTTATTTTCTGTATTTTTTCATTGTTATATACATTCCTTGAGAGTATGGACTTTGTCATTTTAACCTTGGAACATCCAACCTAGAAAAACCTGGCATACGGTAAATATTTATTGAATGAGTGAATTAGATACTCAAAAAATAACACCTTGTATTAGTGATTATTAGGATAATATTTCATAGTAGTGCACATTTGAACTCTACTCCTTGGTTATGGGTAGGATGTTCTCTTTTTATATCTAATATTTTCCTAAAAATTATAAACATCGGGCGCCTGGGTGGCTCAGTCGGTTAAGCGACTGCCTTCGGCTCAGGTCATGATCCCAGGGTCCTGGGATCGAGTCCCGCATCGGGCTCCCTGCTCTGTGGAGAGCCTGCTTCTCCCTCTCCCACTCCCCCTGCTTGTGTTCCCTCTCTCGCTGTGTCTCTCTCTGTCAAATAAATAAATAAAATCTTTAAAAAAAAAAAAATTATAAAAATAGTGAGTTTGGGACCATACCAATTCATTTTACATCTCCCAGCCTCTTACCACAGTATGTGGCATATGTATTTGTGACATACATCTACAAATTAATATTTGTACTAAACTGTTTAGGCCTAACATTTTGTTGGATATGAATGTGGTCTATAACATGCTTTTTTTAATGTGATGCTGTCTTATGATTTTCATTTTTTTTACAAGCTTATGTTTGAGTAGTTAGAATGATAATACATCAGAATGAACTAGAGTCAGAAAGGAATAACTTTGAATAAGCCTACATTATCTTTGAGGTGGGATAAGCTTTATTTATCAAGCCATATTTGGCCTACAAAGCCCTTTGGAGTGCTTCTTTTTTATGGTCAAAGTTTACTTAAATTAATATCTTCAGACATTATGAAAGACTGAAGCAACTTTTTAGATGTAATAAACCTTGTGGCATTTTTAAAATGGACATCATTTAACAAGACAACATAATACCATTTGAATTGATTTTGCAATATCCAACATCATCATCATTATTTAGAATCTGTTTGCTTTGTTCTGTCTTAATCATACTGAATTAAAATATTCCACATTATGTAACACAGTTTATAACCTGTATTTACTGTGACAATTATCCATGAAAGTAAATTGGTCTCACTACAAGTCTCATATAAAATTTACTATAGCTTTTAAATCATGTTATTGTTTCTAATTAGTGAATCATAGCCATAAATCCCTTTGCATTTAAGGGAAAATATTACTTATTTCATCTTCATTCCATGTCAATAGATTTTCACTGTGACACATTCACATTTGGAAGGAAGTTTTCCTTAGAGTTTTATTTACTAAAAGCTAGATTAACATGGAGCTGTTTTAAGAACCTTCCTGAACATTTTTCATTACATTTTTAAAAGATCATGTAATTTAGTATGTCCCACCCTCCAAACACAAAAGCCTATACCCCCTTTGCTGGCACAACTGTAGTGTTAGGCACTTCTAGTTTTCCCAACTTTACCATCATTTGCAGTATATGTTTTAAAATGTGCCAGCAGTTCATTTCACATCCAATTATATTATTTTAGAAAGCAAGAGAGAGTCTCTGGGAAACATTTCCAGTGAGATCACTTTGGTCCTTTCACAGTAGAATTCACAAACTGATAATTATCCCTCTGTGCCATAGTTATAACAGTGAAAAGGAAAGTACATCCAGAAAGAGTACACCCAAAATTTCTCCCACATGAGCAATAAATTATAGCTGTTTCTTTTTAAGATTTATAACCATACTTAAAAATCCACTTTTTCAAATGATATTTATTTAATTTCCCCCAAGTGCATATTCTGTTCTCATACACAAATACATCTGTGTATATGTAGCAGTCTTTGTGCAAAAATGTGGTTTTGTAAATACCTTTTTTGTGTACTAAAAATCCAGGAGTCTCTATGAACTATTATAGTGACCTAATGGTTTCTGGAGCCCATCTAGACTCCATTTTCTACAGTAGAACTATAACTGAATTCTTTATTTGAAAAATGTTCAAAAAGGTATTTATTCACAATAAATAAATTGCATTATGGGTAAGCTCACACACAAATATACTGAATATTGGGGCACCTGGGTGGCTCAGTCAGTTAGCATTTACCTTTTGCTCAGGCTGTGATCTCAGGGTCCTGGGTTGGAGCCCCACATCCAGCCCTGTGTAGGGCTCCCTGCTCCATAAAATTTCATGGCAGGAAGTCTGTTTCTCCTTGGCCCTCTGCCCTCCCCTCAACCCCGCTCATGCACTCTATCTCTCTCGCAAATAAATAAAATCTTTAAAAAAACATATACTGAATATTAACTTAGACACTTTTTCTAAGTACATGTTATTCTGTTACAAATATAATTTTCATTTTTCTGCAGTCTCTCTTCTGTGATTTGTTAGCATCACTCTAGCCACAAGTGGCTTAAGTTGTTCATTCAGACCTGTAGTTCTG